ACACACACACACACACACACACACATATATATATATATATATATATATATATATATATATATATATATATATATATATATATATATTGTACATGTATATATTGTGTACATTTATATATATTGTACATGTATATGTATTGTACATGTATTGTGTGCACCATTGTCTGTGGACCAGCACAACGGAGGCGTATACATACAAAGGATATACACAAGTGTGCGCTCATAGATGTCTCAGGTTAGCACGTGACACATACATTCACAAGGTATAGATGTTATGCTTTGTCCCTCTTACAAGCCACTCCAACATATCCTCCCCCTTTCTCGCTCTCTCTCAAACCACCCACTCATATAGTATGTTATATATCATCCGCCCTCATATACCTTACCTATCTACCACATATGCTGAACCAAAACCTAAACCCTAAACCCTAAAAACCCGACACGGCATCGCCTAATGCACAGAACCCACCAGCGGACTGGACACGTACACAGCCTTCAGTGTAGTACAGACGCTCAAGCAATTGGCGGCAAGTGGCCGCACAGTGGTTGCTACACTCCACCAGCCGTCCTCGGGTGAGCGGATACATTTGAGTGTAACCGGGATATGTAAAATGTATATGTGTATATTTGTATATGTTTCTGTATTTAAAACGATCACATGTGTTGTTGTAGACAAAAACAAATGAGCATACATAGTACATTTTAGTACATATATTCATATTAAGTGATTTCACGTTATATTACATGTATTCTAGTAGTCCTTCGGTCGTTTGTATGTGTTGCTCGGCTGTTTGCTGTGCGTAGTGCTCAAAGTGCCTTCTGTGTACTTAGCTATCCCGCGTCTTTGTTGCCATTGAGACGCAGTCTGTGGATGTTCTGTGGATGTTGTGTGTTAGATACCAATCCCATTCCAATCATCCTCGCACTACCACTCATTATATCTGTTACACGGGCAGAGCTGTTCCATATGTTCGACGACTTAACGCTGATGGCCATGGGTCGCATCATGTACATGGTATGTGGCAGGTTTAGAAGGGGTGTAGGCATTTGGGGTATTAGTGTTAAGTGTTTATAGTGAAGGTGTTTTTGTGCATGCAAAACGTTTCAGTGGAGGTATAACGTGGTATATATATATATATATATATACATATTATATATCCATATATAAATATGTATTTGCAAGTACATGACATGAATCAAGTCTTCGCCATACCCGTGGTTAGTGGTCAGTGCCTTCTGCGTAGGTTACAAGTGCTTAGTTATGCTACGACGACGTCAGGAAAGTGCGTCACATGGACCTGGCTCGTTGTCCAGTGCGTTGGTGTGTTGTTGTTCGCAGTTTGTGCCATGGCATTCATCTTGTGCTGTGACCATCATATGTGGTGGCTACAAGGATGGTAATTTTTTTTTTGGAGTCTCCTGAAAAAGATGTGGATCTCTATCCGAACGGTAGTCATCTATCCCACTTAACATCATATTATTATAATCATCCCATTACAATCATATGAATATACTTGTCATTATCATCATACCATATACTAGTCAACATGCTTATATTCATATGCTTGTCTTCACATACTTATCATCATTCGCTTATCGTCATACTCTTATTTTACTGTCTTGGAACACTAAATGAACAGTTTCACACACATTTGTTGCCACTTCTTGTTTCTCCATTGCTCAGGGGGAGAGCAGCCAGACGGTGAAGTACTTTGCTGACTTGGGCTTCCAATGCCCTAACTTCACCAACCCCGCGGACTTCTTCTTCATGGAAGTGCTTAACACCACTGACACTATGACAGCCCATAAGGACACCCCCGCCGACTCACAGGCGGGGTTGGCGAGACAGAGCATCACTAGTGCCTTGTCCATGGTTGCTGATGCCATGGGTGTTGGTACTGAGGGTGATAAGGCGGCTGATGAGGTGTTCTATGGAGACAACGGCGACGAGCGAACGCTGGTGAGTGAACAGCCGCGTGTGTGGGGGGGCAATGCAAGGCGCATGCAGAGACGAAGCACACGCGAACACGCGCACACGGCATATGCATCTACGTGTAGAGAGAGGGTTTTACAATTGTGTATGTGTGATGCAAATGTATGTACGTATAGAGAGAGGGTTGTATAATTGTGTATATGTGATGCAAATGAACATATATGTCGATGGGTTGTGTAAGGTGCTAGGGATGCTCTGCGGTCGCGGGGTTGAGTCAATAAGAGAAAAGAATGCACTGTGGTGTAGCATGTGCGGCTTTCAAGTGTGTAGCTGATGCACTGTGTGCCATTCACGTGTGTGTGTGGTGGTTGCACGAGCATGTAACCCGCTCACATCGCTTAGGTCGAGCAATGTGTGCGATTCACTTAGGGTTTTAGCTATTCACTTAGGGTTCAAGGTTTAGGGTTTTAGCCAACCCGAAAATATTGCGCTCTTACAGCTTAAACCCAACATTTACCATACCCTGCAATTCTCAGCGGCTTCTCGACCAATGGGATCAAAGTAGTGGTGCGGCGAAGGTCAATGCGTATGTGCGGGATGTGGCGCGTGGGCAGATTGAGTTTCATGAGCTCAAGTCACAGGCTGACTACAAGACACAGTTCCATGAATTGGGCAAGCGTGCAGTCAAGAACGCCATCCGCGACAAGATGATTGTGGCCGTCAAGGTGTTCCAGTCGGTGTTCATGAATACTCTGGGTATGTGCCTTAGATCAGCATGTGTGTGTGTGTGTGTGTGTGTTGTGTGTATCTATGTCTGTGAATGTATGTGTGTATGTATGTATGTATGTGTGTATGTGTATGCATGTATATATGTATGTGCATGTGTATGTGCGTGACAAGTGTGTGTGTGTATATGTGCTTCTTATTTATGGTGACGTGTTTGTCTTTGGCCTGGTCTATCTGCCCATCTAAAATCTGAACCTGTAGTTTAGGCTGACTTTGACTCTCGGTTGCCTCGTACCTTCATCCCTTTGTGGTTATTGTAGTGTCTTATACACATTCTTTGTAGTTTGATTTTCATGACATCCCTTTGTGGTTGTTGTATTGTATCATACACATTCTTTGTAGATGTAGTGTCTCATATGCTTTCGTCCCCTTCTGCCCGTGCAGTGGGTCTGATTTACCTTCAATTGGATCTGGGTCCTCAGGGCTCACAGAATCGTCAAGGAGCGATGTTCTTCATGTGCACTAATAGCATGATGATG